GAAACTCGGGCACTGTGACTCTCTGTAGTGAGGAGAGGGCCGATGTATGGAGAGATCGACTGCTAGCAGAGGAAGCCGAACTGAATGCTTTATTATCCGCACCCGATCCACACGGTAACTCTGATACTGCCGAAGCGCGAGCAGCAGTCAGAGATCGAGAGCTTGCCACCATACGACTCGGAGAAGTCCATCAACTCTTGGTGGATATTGATGCCGAAACAGGTCCAAGTCGAGCAGCAGAGTCAGTTTGAATGATTCTCTCGCAACTCATAGCCATCCTGACTACTTCTGACTAAAGAGAGAATTCTGATACAGGTTGTTAGCGGGACTGGGGTTCTCGACTGAAGACCAGGCTCGGCCGACGAAGGCATTCTCTGGAGGTTGGCGAATGAGACTCAGTCTGGCAAGAGCACTGTTTTGCAGACCCGATCTCCTACTTCTTGATGAACGTCAGTCTCCACCCAAAAAGTGACTTTTCCAGATGTCAAAAGCTGAATCCTCCATTCAATCCACAGCGTCGAACAATTTGGATCTTAATGCTCTTGCTTGGCTTGAGGATTATCTCCAGACCTGGCCCGGATCTTTGCTCGTGGTTTCTCACGACCGTGCTTTCTTGGACGAAATCGCTACCGACATCATTCACCAACATTCACAACGACTAGACTGTATGCCAAGTTTGACACAACACATCACCCTCGTTTTCTTTATTGCTTAATGAATGCATTGTTTTTCTATGATCATTTGACCTACAGACTACAAGGGAAACTTCACTCAGTTCTATGCAACCAAATCTGAACGAGCCAAGAACCAACGTCGAGAATATGAATCCCAACTCCAATACAGACAACACTTACAAGCGTTTATCGATCGATGGCGGTATAATGCTAATCGGGCAGCCCAGGCCCAGAGTAAAATCAAAATTCTGGAGAAATTGCCCGAGCTGGAACCTCCTGAGGATGATGATGTCGTCCATTTCAAGTTTGCGCCGACCGACAAGTTGACACCCCCTCTTCTCCAACTAGAGGACTGTTCATTTGGCTATTCTACTGACAAGCCAATATTGAAGCATGTGAACATTGATGGTGTGTGTCCATCAAATAACTTCAACGGTAACACCTTGCTGATAATTGATTTCCATCGTATGTAGTGACGATGGAAAGTAGGATGGGGTTGATTGGTCCTAACGGAGCAGGTACATAATTATTTCATATAACCTCCAATCAAACGTTGAACTTGTGAAGGTTAAAAACATTCACACAATAATCTGAACAGGTAAATCGACCCTACTCAAGTTACTCATTGGGGAGCTTCAACCAATCGAAGGCCGACAACACCGAAACAGCCGCCTGAGGATCAGTTATTTCTCGCAACATCACGTGGACCAGCTGGATTTGAATCTATCACCGGTCTCCTTTCTAGCCGCCCGAATGCCCGGGAAATCTGACCAAGAGTACCGTCAACATCTCGGGAGTTTCGGACTGACGGGCCTGACGGGCTTGCAACAGATCTCGACCCTGTCTGGAGGACAGAAGAGTCGAGTGGCCTTCGCCCTTCTTAGCTTGCAACAACCTCACATCTTGGTCCTTGATGAGCCGACCAATCACTTGGATATCGAGGGGTTGGATGCTCTCATGGATGCCCTTTCTAAATGGAACGGTGGTGTCATCGTTGTTTCTCACGACAGTCGATTCATTCATAACGTCTGTAAAGAATTATGGGTCGTCGCTTCCCAAAAAGCTGAGAAATTGTTCGTCCCTTTTCTCCGAGCGGCGAGACTTTTTTCTTTTCCAACCAATTGTTGCACTTCATTTACTGACTACTCTTCTCCCTGATATTTCTTTTGTTTTCTAGCGTTGGCGATGTTAGCGCATACAAAAGTCTCATCGTTGCCAACCAGAAAACCAAACCGACCTGATCACAAACAAACAAAAAAAACCATCAATCCAATCACAAATTCTGTTTTTTTTTTTTTTTTTTTTCTTCTCTCATTCGTTTGTAGTACAACCGTCAATTCTGGAATATTTGTGCACAGATATCAGCAGATTGTGCACAAAATTCTGGTTTGCAGAGAGAATTGTTTCCATGTGCTGTCCCCGTTTCTCTGGATCCCTGCGGGCTAGTCTGAGGTGAGGTTTAAGAGCTGGAGAAAGCTGTGCCGTAGAACGTATTTGATGTCTTGTTGAGCAGGCTGGACTCGCATTGCCGATAAGACAACAGGGGTCAGGCCCATGAGATCATTGCAATGGTTTGTTTTACCAAAATAATGACAAAAATTCTCACGGGATGACTTTGGTTTCTTTTGTTTTTATGTTTGCAATGAATTGATATGAAGATGCTTAATAGAAAGAAATATGAATGAACAAATATTTAAGTTGTATGATGTAAGATGAAACTTTTAAAATATGCTCATACACAAAAGAAAGAAAGGGGGCAAACTAGATAGATCTTTTGAGTTTGAGTTTTTTGGATTAAAGAAAAAAGAAAAACATGATCTAAGATTTTTTAAGCAAAAAGAAAGAGTTACAAAAAAGGAGATATATTTATAGATGGATGCAAGTAAATCAAAACCAAATCAAAGAGGGCGAGAAAAAAAAACAAAAGAACAGAAGAAAAGAGGGAAGGAATTGAAAGTGAGATTAAAAGTTCAGATTAAGGAGAGAATCGTTTTCATTTTTCTCGATAAGCCGTTCAAAGTATCTACGAATCTCATGACAAGCGAAGCTAACGGATCCCAACGCAAGTAGAAGGACCAGATCACGTTGATCGAGCGCTTGGGTTTGAAAGATTTTCTGTAAGACTGGAAGATAGATGATCATTAAGAGACTCAAGAAGGAGACCAAGACGGTGATCAACAGGATTGGATTATGAGTTTTGACTACCCGTTCGTCTCGATTGACCAAATGATGATGGGAGGATGTTGTTCGGCTTATAGGATGGTAGATCTTCCGTGAAGCCCGACTGAAGAATGCCGGGATCTTGTATTGGATGAAGCCTTGGATCTGGTGCTTAAGACTCCTAGGAAACAGGTCGACATTCAAGCCTCTATTCTGGATGGCTGAGATAAGGTCCAAGAAGACGAAGGAAGTAAAGGTCACCGTTTGGTCTCTCTGTCCCACTTCTGGCCCTTTCAAATCGAACAGATAGATGAATAAGGTGCCTCCGATGATCATGATTGCTGAGAAGCCGATCCGGTACAGCAGTCGGATCGTCAAAACCGCCGAATGTTTCGATCTCGGTTTACGTTTCATGACTTCTTTGTTGACTGGATCGACTCCAAGCGATTGAGAAGGAGGCCCATCCATCAAGATATTGATGAACAAGATCTGCATCGCATTCAATGGTGCAGGCAAGCCCAAGATGGTCGAGATGGTAATCAGGCTTAATGCAGCAACGGCCGTCGAAAGTTGGAATGCTAAAAAGTTTTGAATATTGTAGAAGATCGTCTTTCCTTCCTCAATTGCGGGTAGGATGGTCGAGAAGTTATCGTCGACGAGGATCAAATCTGCAGCTTCCTTAGCCACATCTGTTGCGCCTTTCCCCATCGAGATCCCGATATCGGCCATCCTTAGAGCCGGTGCATCATTAACCCCATCGCCGGTCATGGCGACGACGGATCCAGTGGATTGAAAGGCCTCGATGATCGACATCTTGTGTCGTGGCGTCACTCGGGCAAACACCGAAGTCCCCTTGACCCGGTCGATCAACTGACGAGGAGTCAGTCGATCAATCTCTTGCCCAGTCAGACAGCTCGAGATACCCGAATTGGTCAGAATTCCCAGCTCTCGTGAGATCGCTGTGGCCGTGAACTCTGAGTCTCCCGTGATCATAACGACATGTACGCCTCCCTTTTGAAGTGAAGCAATGGCAGTTGAGACTCCCTTTCGAGGCGGATCGGTCATTCCTTGTAATCCAGTGAAGATCATGTTATTGGAGTCAAATCCGTAGGCCATGGCTAAGACTCGGAGGCCCGATTTGGCCATCTTTTCAGCTTGTTGGGTGATCTTAGCTCGAGCCCCATCCTCGTCTAAGCTGGTGGTGACTGAGTCAGATTTGAGATAGAACTTGCACCGAGAAAGGACGACCTCCGGGGCACCAATCAAGTAGTGGGTGTCGGGATCAGTGATCATTGATTGAGTTGATCGACTGCTTCGGGGTGAGAGCGGTGCGTTGGATGGTCTCGAGTCAGTTGTTTTGAATGAGCCGACAACAGATGAGTACTTAGCCTCAGATGTGAACGGAGTCTCAGATTTCCGATTGAACAGTGGTCGACAATCTTCGACCCCCAAAATCGTTAGCACGTTCAGGAGGGCCACCTCAGTGCTCGTACCAACATTAGTCCCATCCTGATTTCGATAAGCATTCACACAGAGGTTGGCGATCTCAAGCGTTTTGAGGATCACATCTGAGATTTTGAGCATGTGCATATTGGGCTCAGTCAGGGATTGGACGGTTTTCAGACCATCATCGATCGTAAAGATTTGAGTGACGGTCATCTGATTGGTCGTGAGAGTTCCAGTTTTGTCAGAACATATCACTGAAACTGAGCCGAGAGTTTCGACTGAATGTAATTTCTTGACGATCGCTTTCCGTTTCGACATCCTCAAAACACCTAACGCTAAAGTGACGGTGACTACGATCGGCAATCCTTCTGGAATGGCGGCAACGGCAAGTGAGACTGTTTGGGGAAGCGATACAGGCGATGTCATCTGATAAAACTATTAGCGCAAAGTGGAAATAAGCCAAATTAATTAAGAAAAGGTACTAACTGACCCCCAACTGTAAACATCTCCAGCCAACTGCGTTTCTGCCATAATCCAATTAGGCAGATGACGGCGATGACGGCGAATGAGATTGCACTAAGTTTCTTAGCTAATTCGTCCATCGATAACTGCAGGGGTGTCTTTCGTTCTTCGACCTCTTGCATCATCCCAAAGACGACACCGAACTCAGTTTGAGAGCCAGTTCCAACGACAATCCCAGCGCCGTTGCCGTTCTTGACCAGGGTACCCATGAGTGCCACGTTAGTTCGTTCGGAGATATCGGGTAGCCGACCTTCGACCTGGATCCGATCGACTTGTTTCTTCATCGGCTTGGTCTCCCCTGTCATCGAGCTTTCATCGATCTCAAGTTGAGTGGCTTTGATCAGTCTCAGGTCTGCTGGAATCCGATCGCCGACGGAGAAGGTGACCAAGTCCCCTGGGACGAGGACGTTGGCGAGTAAGGTTTGTGGCTGACCATCTCGTGTTAGATGACAATAATGTGGTACCAATTTGTTCAGAGCCGCCAGTGATTTCTCAGATCGTTGCTCTTGAATGAAACCCACTTTGGATACAAAGAAAGAGAGAGATAAGTACAAACAACCCCCTTTCAATATATATATATATTTTTGCTTAAAAAGATGTGAATAATGTTTTTCATACCTGTGACTACGATTACGATGGCAGCAGTAATACTGATAGCATCATCCGTGTTACCGACGATATAACTGACGGCTGCTGATCCTAATAGCAGGAGATTCAGCGGACTCTCGTAGAACTGAGCGAGGAATTTTTTCAGGACGGATTCTCTAGCATCGACCTGGAACTCGTTTGGGCCGTGAATTCCACGGATGGCGGGTACGGACTGGGAGGGTAATCCTTTGACGGGATGGGTGTTGAACTGTTGGACTACCTGGTCGATCGATTGGACTGAATAGTGTGCGGATGGGGTGGCGGAGGCATAGAAGGAGGATGAAGAAGGGTTTTGAGGGTCGTCCTGGGTTGTCGGATGGGCTTTATGATGGGGGAATGTTGAGGTGGTTGGGCTGGGCAGTCGATGATGGTGGTGATGGTGGGATGTTCTGAGTAGGGTTTCGTCTTCAGCTCGCCTGAGTAGGGTCGAATAAGCAAATCCTTCGTCTGTTGTTGGTGGTGTTCCTATGGGCTGGGGTGGAGGCGAGGATGACTTGATGGGTGTTAGTCCGATGTAGAGTGGTTTGTCCTGGTGGTTGCTGCTGTTGTTGTACATGCTGCTGTTGTGGTTAGTAGGAGGAGGTCTTGTGGTTGTGCTCAGCTCAAGTAGACGAGCCAGCCAGCAAAAAAAAAGACGACATCACTCTCATCTCGGGCCCAGCTTCGATCACCAGGCCCGGTACACTACGACGGCCCGACCAGAATCACATTGAAAATCACATCGATGATCAAAATCCTGAAAATGGGCTTTCAAATTGAGACTCATCTCATCAAAAAAAAGAAACCAGGAAGAAAACTTTCAATTCGGAAAACGGGGTGGTGTTTGTCTACAACGTGCAAGGCCAAGAGGATAGCCTTAAATTCAATGCAATCATCTTTATTACCCATAATTGGGCTGGAAGATCAAAGATAACAATTCTTTGGGCTTATATAGAAATACTTGTTCATCTCAGATGTGTAGATCTGTTATTCTTCCACAAAAAGTGTTATCTAACACTCAATCACTTTCCACAGTCATCAAGACACGAGCTATCTCTAGACTCTAATTGGCAGGATTGATCCTGAGGGGCGGGGAGGTTTATCGCCATCACATTCAATTCCCAATCACACACACCAAAATACATGAATCCCTTCTATGCTGTAATCCAAAAAAAGGAGAAAAAGTCACAAAAAAACGATAGACAAAGGAAATAGGATGCGTCTACAAGACCAGCAAATAAAACATGTCGAACAGGGCCTTCTCAAAGGGGGATATGAAAACAAGAAAAAGTAAGCAGGGAGACTGATTTATCTATCGATTTTTATGAATCGCCAATGTTGCATTCAGGATGGACGAGCAGTACAGGATCTCGGACGGTGGTGGAAGATTCTGCTCCTTCACTCTCTTGTTGTAATCCTTCACCACGCAATTCCATGATACATTTTTCCTGGAAATGGTGAACAAAGAAAGAAAAAAAAAGTCAGGATTCGCGATAAGCCCCTTCATTGCATGGAGACATCCGTGTATATGAATACAAATATATTGAACTGACCTTGACGAGTCTGATCAGGACTTTGCCAATCAGAGCTTTCTCTGTCTCAAGCTCCTCTACCGAATTCAAATCAGGCTCCATCTCTTCCAAATACCACTGAACCAATTCAGATTTTTTGATTCCACTTCCGGTCTCCCGCTCCACGGTTTGCAGTTTACCAAGCACCAGGGTCATAATGCCCATATACTTCTCGTATGTGATCTTAATCTGGGCTTTCTTGGGTTGGACCGGTTTCGGCGGGCCAGGAGTGGAGGAAGGGCCGGCGGTGTCTGTAGTCGGGGCCTCGGTGGTGTCAACATCCATCGAAGCTTCTGTTGGGTTGGTTGGCAGCGTTTCAGCTTCGACTTCTTCTTCTTCTTCATCATCGAATCCAATGTCGTCCTTTTCCACATGAATAATCGACTGCTTCAGCAAGTTAAAAGCTTCGCGCACATATGCAGGTATAATCTGGATACAATGTAGAACAATGTCAGGATATCTGGCAAGTTGTTTAGGTGGTGAATCAAGTCAGCTGAACAAGTAAGCTGGCATACTTCTTCCATACAATGAGCTCGAGCAATCGCTTCACTAAGACGAATCATACTCTCCAACTGTCGAACTGTGATCCGATAAGAATTTCTTCCCCATCCTTGCGAATCATCTTGTCTCAAGTCTCGATACTTTTGTACCAAAACGGTTGCTGCTTCAGGTGTCATCTGCAAGTCGTATCAACACGAACAATTAATAAAATAAATGTGCTCAATATTGGTTATTGAGGTGACTGCTTACCTTGGGGTTGAACGTCCGGCCGTATCTGATATACCTCTGCAAAGCATCAGTTGAAAACTCTGGTTTGATTGCAACCTCTCGAAGTCGGTGGACATTGACGATATGACTGGCGATGGCAAAGTCAACATCCTCGTTACACTCGTCTAAGACCACGAAAAACAAGTCGAATCGACTCATGATGGGTCCGCTCATGGCGACGTTGGCCCTTAACGACATTTTTTTGTTGTAGCGACCACCGACTGGATTGGCAGCCGCCAGGATGGATGTACGGGCGTTGAGGGTAGCCTGTATTCCCGCTTTGGCGATCGAGATCGTTTGCTGCTCCATCGCTTCGTGGATGGCTACTTGATCAGAAAGATCCATCTTATCGAATTCGTCAATCGCACAGATCCCGTTATCTGCTAACATCAGAGCACCCGCTTCGATTGTGAACTCCCCGGTCTCTTCATCTTTAACCACCGCAGCTGTCAGACCAGCTGCTGAAGACGCCTTTCCACTGGTATAGACAGACCGCGGCAGAAAACCACAGATGTACTTCAAGAATTGTGATTTGGATGTTGATGGATCGCCGACAATGCATAGGTTGATATCTCCTCGTAGGTTGATACCCTCATGGGTCGTTTTATGAACTCCGCCCATCAACTGCAACAGTAGACCCTTCTTGACGATTTCGTGTCCGTAAACTGTAGGCGCAATCGATTGAACCAGTCGGTTGTAAATCCGGTCAGAGTGAACCATTTCACGAAGTTCTTGGACTTCTTGGTCATTTAGTGAGTCTAAAAAGTCTTTTCGAGTTCCTAATTGATCGTTACCGACGTCGGGATCCCACCTAACATTCGTGGCATTGGACTGTGAAAAATGAACGAGACACGTATAAATAGGCGACCGACTGCTAGCCAATCCGGGATTCTAAGAAACTTACTCGAGAGTCGGCAGCTTGGACCATACAGGCCAAGAACGCAGTCTTATAGGTCAAGTCCCTAGCTCCCAGCATTTTCAATCCGCTGACACCCATACTTTCAGCGCCAACACCTCTCATCCCGCCGGGCCGTCCACCGCCAGCTGTTTTGATCATCTCTGCATTCACACCAGGTAATCCGAGCTGAGCCACATCAGGGACGACAATGAAAGTTCCGGTGAAAATACATTTGTCTCCTGCCTTCGCTTTCTCGACAACTTCGGCTCGAAGAATCACATCTAGTGATCGGGGCATCGAGCCAGTCGGGATTTCATTTGAGTTTTCTTGAATTCTGACACGTTGCCAATCGGTAAATGTGGATTGTTCAATCGATAATTTCCATTCGGTTCGGTTGTTACACGTAGGATGAGGGCACGTATTGGGCTAATTAAGTGGCAATTTTAAAAAAAAAACTTTGCATGAGCGAAAAGTGAGGGAAGGATATGATGACAAACGAAGGGGAACTTACCTACCTCAGTGTATTTGAACTGTTGCTCGACATCTCTTACAATATTTTTACATTCCTCGCAAATGAAGGTGGCAAAGATCAGCTCTGGCCTTACCTCACTAGTCCTGGTGACAGTGCCACCGACCGAGATGAGTTTGCCGATTTTTTCTGTCCTGAGATCTCTGATGCCCATAACGTGTGGTAGGTTGTAGATCGCAAGATTGAACTGGCGACTGATCAAGCCAGAAGAAACCGTCGAGTTGGTGTGGGTGTTAATGTGCTGGTAGGAAGGAATATATTTCTTGACAAGAGATTGCAAGGCTTGTTTGAGGTAAGGCAAAAATCTGACAAGCAGTTCAAATTCCCGAAATCTTGGGTAAGCTTTTGATCAGACGTTTTAAACCAAACCAAGCAAAGTCACGTACCGGTAATACTGCTCTGAAATGGCTTTGGCGAGGACCGTCTCAGTTGAAAGCAGATGTGCGAAATCAAGATAAAGCGTTGTGAGTTCGAATTCTTTCAAGGCTTTAATTAGCTCGACATATAATCGCCGAGGACCCGAGGGAGAAGGAGACGAAAGATCATTTTGATCGGTTTGATCAACGAAGCTGGACGAAAATGATTAGAAAAAACAAACGAACAGTTAACCAGTTGGACTTGAATGCGAGAATTCTAGATAGAGAAAAAAACTTACTTCTCAAGGAATTCTTCAAATTTTTCTCTCACTCGCTCTCCGGTGTCATCGTTCACCCTAGGGATCTCTTCTAAGTTCCTCGCAGCTCTGGGTCTGCCTCTAGATGGTGCGCCTTGTCGATCGCCTTCTTCCTCAGCTTCGCCGGTGGGTGTCATGCCGTCAGCGCGTCGATGAGAGCCTTGGCCACTCATTCCCATTTCCGCATCGCCACCGATGCTGAGCTCCGAAGGCATAGGGTTAGATGAGCTGAGTCCGGACATGCTGGTGAGTGTTGGGCGCTACTGGATCAGTGTGAGGTGGTCTTGGGGGTGATGATGTGATGGGGAGAAGCGAAGTGGATGGATGTGATGACTTGCCGTCGAGGCGCGTCTCTTGAGTCCGCGGCGGTGCGCCCGAGCCGCATACACAGGAGACATGGACTTCTGCCGCATGTACCTGGATACAACATATCTCCCTTTCCAATCTGCACATTTGTCCAACTTTGAGATTTGAAAACTGAAGAAAGTTGAAATAAAGATTCCAGCATTATGCAGGCAAATATTTACTCTGCTATAGGTTATTTAAGCAATCAAACATCTGATCAGTGCAGTTGCTGGCAGTTATTGAACCATTGTCCACATTCCCATCTCAAATTTTATCTTGGCCACTTACGTATGATTTGGGAGGGGGCTACTAGCTCCCTCTTGCATTTGATAAGAAAAACACTTGAGTGAAATAGGAATTGCTGCTGTATTCTTTCATGTACCCATTACCCCAATTACCCACCTTGATTGCCATGAGATGATTTTGTCCAAATCCATTTGGGTGAAGTTTAATAAATTCTTGAATATTCCTGATTAGTCTTACCATTTTTTCCTGGATTTTAATTCTTACAGTATTCACGTTTATCCAAACTATAAATTTCATCTGATTTCCAATAATGAAGAGCAACTTCACCCAGGAATAAACTGTGGATGTAATTTGTAAACCTCATTTCCACCCCAGGCTCCACAAACTCTGCCCTGGCTGGGGGTGTATGTAAACAGGGAGCCAAATCTATTGGGGATGTAAAAAAATTCCTTGCTAGTGTAAATATGGTTCCCATGTACACTCTTATACATCCTGTGATCTGGCCCTGATTTGTGTGAAACCTGCGACTATCAATCAATCACCACCCCCTGATTCATATCCACACATACAATCCAACACTGTTCACACATTTTTATACTCCAGCATACCTTCCAATTGGGCAGGACCAACAAAATTTCAGCTTTGAAAATAAAATTTGGGAATGCATTGCACAGCTTTCACACCTGGTGGTCAGATGGCATCTGGGCCAAGTTTTGTCCCAAATCCACTGTCCAGAAACTGCCCTGTTCATGTATTGATCAGGGGTGAGGGTTGGGGTGGGAAAGCTGGATAACAATCAGACTTGGGGGCATAGCTTGTGTACATGTAGGGAGCAAGGGATTCAACTAAAAGCATATCCACCGTGGGAGCTAAACTGGATTGATATCTTGAGTTTAGCAACCCAAACCCAAAAAAACCATCCATAATTCCGCCTGGGTTGCTAAACTGGAAAAAAGATTACCTCCTGAGGTAAAAAACCAATCAAGTCGCCACATGCAGCAACCCTCTAGCAGCACTTCAGCAACTTGTCCCCCCTGCAAACTCCTCCATCTTCACAAATCTCCAGATCCCCATCCACCCAATTGAAATCATGTATGTACAACACTCTCCTCCCCACAATGATACAATCTGCCAATAGCTACATTGTAAGATTTGAGACCACTCATCATTTACTCTCATGTGTCTCAATGCCTAATACAGTTGACCTTTCACAAGTGAGCCTTGCTTCTGTTAGATGAACTGGTCATCATTGCAAGCTACTCTTGATGACAGGTACGAAATGGTCATCAAGAGCATGGTGTACTCTTGATTACAGGTACCAACCCATCATCAAGAGTAGATTTTGCTCTCAACGACCAAATTGACCAATCATCAAGAGCTTCAGGTACTCTCCATGAACATTCTGACTGGTCACTACAGGCCTGTGAGGGATGTTTCCTCTGGATGACCAGGCTCATCAAGGAAGGAACAGTTGTCTAACAACCATGGGTGGGTGTCAAAGCTGAACAGGTTGCTAGAAATAAAATTTGAGTTGCTATTGCAGCGCAGGGATTTAGCAACCAAGTTTTATCTCCCGTGTTGGATATGCTCTAAGGCCCTGTTTGGCCGCAAATCATGATATGTGATTTGGCTAAAGTTTGGCGCGGATTTGGACTGTGCAATATAAAATGATACAAAATGTTTGCATGAACTCACAACAAACCTTGCCTCAAAATTACAAATTACGGATGGCCAAACAGGGCCAAAGTATGAGAAAAAGAAAAAAAACAATCAAGCAGGGGGGTTGACTTGTGATCCATGGGTGGATTGGATCTACCACTACATCTAGTCTTGGAAGGCATGAATAGATAATATAGCTGAGAGGGACATGGATTTGTATTGATATCTATGCTTGACCAGTGACGTGTGATCCTGGGATATGCACCATTTCCCTGCCAAGTGTCATCTCCAGCTGGTGGGGGCTTCAACATTTAACTTTTGAAGGCTCAAACCCCGGTCAATGAGGCACTTTGCACAGCTGCACCCTCCTGAAATCTGGGGATCTCACCACCTACGCAGTTTAGACAGGACAAACAGGAGCCCACAGGCCAGGCGAAATCCCCCCCCCCACCCAGTGGGTGTGGGCCACTGAAGCCCAGCTGTCACCTGATCAGGTGAAAGAGTTTTCCTAAGGCCATCATCACATGGACCTATCCACGCATTTTAGAAACCATCAGAAATATAGCTGTAACTGGATCCAAATGAATTATTTGATGTGCAATCTACAAGGGTATAATGGATGAGAAGAGTAGAGCTCATCAATCATAATTCCAAAAATCTATCTGTTTCCATGGGCTGATGCCAAATCAGGTGAATTAAAGGTTTGCTGTATTGTTCATCTATCCATTAAGTTTTCAGTCAACTCAAATGGAAGAGATGAGATAATTTGGAGAATCATTTGGGATTTTTTTCAGAGATCTTAATGCTGTGATTATTTCATGAATGATTTGATTGAGAGTCAATTTTGATGATACTATGTAGTGTGGTTTCATCAAATCATCCAAAATAAAGTCGTTAATTATTGAGCTTTCATCAAATTCAATTCACAGGTTGATACAGCTTTGTTTTGATTTTTCATGTCAACTGGTAAGATTTTTGCATCTTTTTTTTTGATCCTTTTGTCCCCTTAAATTAATGTATCCATCAATTGAGTTTAGTTTTCCATTTTTCATTCAGCTCATTTTTCTCCACCTGAGCGCCGTTTGCTGTCTGACGATTGTTTGTATGTTTCCGTGCCCCCCCGAAGTGCTCGGGGACGGGTATCGGTGCTTTAGCATCAGACTGGGTGAGATTGTCGGTGTTCGTGAAACTTAAACTCTCTTCGAAGTTCGCCCTTTGGAAAAGCCCGATCACAAGATTTCAACACGCGTCTGGATCAGCGCCCTTTCTCGCGGAAACTCGCAAGGATTCCTCAGCTGCTCGCCCGGAGACATCAAGGAGTCATCCGACCGAAATACCGGGCTTACGATGGTGCACACGTTTGGAGGGATCTACTAAAAGTCTCCACTCAAACGAGGTTTTTTTTTTTCAGCATTCACCACTGCCACTCACGATGGCCGTTGCCCGGGACCCCAATCTGCCTGTGACGCGTGTCTTCCAACGTGGAATAAACGCATTCAAAGCTGGGGACTATCAGCGCGCAATCCAATGCTTTGATCAAGCTTTCCAGGCCTCCTCATCCACTGAACCTATCGCCCTAAGAATCAATATTCTCGACAGTCGGGCTGCTGCTAAGGACAAACTGAACGATCTTAGGGGTAGCTTGTCAGATTCGAAAAAGGTGATTGATCTGGCTCCCGAGTCTCCCAAAGTAAGCACTTCTCTCTCTCTCTAACTTCCAACCAACTCAACTTGAAACGTCTATCTGATGGCTGCTGCATCGACCCTCACCCTGCCTTCCTTCCCTACTACATGTAGGGGTACATCCGTGCTGCTCGTCTTTTCAACAAGATCCAGAGATTTCCGGCCTCCATAAAGATGTTCGAGCTGGCCGTCTCCAAGCTGAACTCGAGTCCACAAAAGAACACGCAATTGATAGAGGCAAGTGAACAAGACTAGAAACTGAGTCCCAACTTTTCTTCTGACCTGCAATCCTTCATTCGGCTGTTGGACGTGCAGACCCTACGAGCTGAGCTCCAGCAAGTTCGCCTTCAAGAACAGACCCACATGGCTACACCAGGAATCTCTCGCGCCCCATCATCATCCACTTCATCCGTGAGCTCACTCTGATTGACTCTGCTAAAGCCTACCAATATCTAACGTAGGATTGTGTTGTCGTGTTCTTGTCATGGCTGTTAGAAACCTAAATCTGACTTGGTGGGAAAGATGCCATTCGAGATTTTTATCGACATCGTCTCGTTATTGGACACTCCGACGCGTGTTAGATGTATGGGGGTATGCTCCTCGTGGCGTCAGGCGATTCTAAACACCCCACGCCTTTGGAACAACCTTTCTCTGAATGCGTACAACCACCAGAAGCTGTTGACGAAGGCCAAATATTGGCTCGATCGGCTCGAACCGGACCAACAGTTGCACACTCTTAATATCAGCCCTTCCCCCATATGGCCTCCCTCGACCGTTCACAACCTCCTCACCTTTCTAGCCGACAAACTAGCCACGAGGAAAGCCGCACCAAACACCTGTCTTCGGTCTTTCAGCTTCCATCAGGCTGGCACCTCCCATGGAATTGGAGTGACACGCAAAACCTTCGCTGATGTGATCGCTTTTGCGTATTCGCATCGGGCCAACTTGTTTAATTTGGAACTACAACTACCTGGTTTCATCACCTGCTACATGACGCTACCTACCCTCTTGGCCGACTTTCCATTGTTGAACGGGCTCAAGCTGCAAGGTAGCCGCGGACAATATATAAACTTCAAGAAACCTGAGGACTTCTCTCGGAATCGTGTTCCCTCATCGACGGCTACACATTCCGGATCGGGCTCCCCAGATGGTAATAGCCCAAGTACGTCTGGTCATTCGCAATCGAACCCGAACTCGTTGGATGCAAGCCAGCCGGTCCAAAAGGTATGGGATCAACTTGAGACGTTGTTTATACACTGCACGTCATTCATGCCTAGCGAAGAACTACCACTCGCCCTACCTTCCCTGCGATCCTTATCTTTAATCACTACGGTCATCACCGCGAGCACGCCGGGCAGCGGCGTGAGGGACATGTTCGATCGGGGTGTACCTGGCGTCAGGGACATGTTGGATCGGAGTGTACCTGGGATAGACTTTACTCATCTATGCAAGCTAGAAAATCTAGAATTCTCCGGAGCCTCCATCGGCGAGGAGCAATGGGAGCCTGTTTGGCGGACTTGCGGGGGCTTGCCTAGGTTGAAAAGGGTCCGCTTCGGGGTCCAGCCGCATTTCATTCCCGCCCTTCTCGAGCTGGCCAACATCTCCCCGGATTGGTCTCCGCCGCAAGACGAAGTCATTCATGGGCCGTTGAGAACTGAAATAGCCGCTATACTACCCGAGCTGGAGTTGATCTCTCTATCGTCTCTTGATAGCTGGATATCTTACAAGTTCGTAGCAGTCTTCGGCCATCAATTCACAAAGCTCGAGTCGCTCTCGGTGGCCGGTTTACAGCTCGACTCAGACACCGAGCCGTTGATGGTCTATGCATTGCGCCATTTGCCAGCACTCGTGAACCTCAATCTTGGGAGCACCAACGCGAGTCCGGGAGTGATCGAGGCCATCAAACCTGGCCGGCTGGAATATCTCAAGCTCGCCAATTGTCCCCGGGTCACCTTCCGGCCACTTTCCTCCCTGGTGGCCCCTAAAAATCTGCACTTCCTGGACATCAGGGGCTGTCATTTGATCTCCACCCGCGAAATGCTCGAGTGGCTCGCCCGTCGCGTCACGTCCTTCGTTTGGCAAGAAGATCAGGATTATTTGGCTAGGAGAGCCACCAGACGACTCTTCCTAGATTGATCTGCTGACTTACTTGCCATTAGCCATGATCCCCGAAGGACCTCCTGCGAGATATGATTTTACGGTTTTTGTGGTGACTTATACGAAAGGAAACGTTGGGCTGGTTTCTGATTTACCTTACCTTAAACTTCTCTCATTGTATTACTAAATATCATTTATAGTTTGTTAGCTTGTCGTTTTACTGGGGTTCATTGGGGATAGAACAGCTTGTTTTTGTTTAGAGGTTAAGATTTTGAATACACATATATGTCTGCAAAGTATAATGTATAATGTACACAATATGAATATTACATCTCCTCCGGATCATCAGAGAAGGAGTTGACAGTCCGTCAAGAAGCCGGGAATTGGAATTCAAATCTCCTCCACCGAGCCCGTTGATCGCCCATCCAAACCGGGGTGCCTAAGCTATTTCCGAGTGGATCGGGTGGCTGGATCTGGAAGGCGTCGCGCTCGACAAAGGTGATTGTGGACGGAAAGGTTTGCGAGACGAGGACGATCGTCTGGGTCTTGGTTCCGAACCATGTCTCATGACTGGCCGAGGCCCCGGGAGTAGAGAGTCGATGGTAAGGGCGGATCAAGATATTGCTTGGTATGTCGTCCGTCGAATCATTGGTTGTCCTGAAAAAATCATTGCAAGATTTTTGGTCAATTTTCATTCGATCAAAGAAGGCTCTGAAGAAATGAAGGTTTGACTGACGATATTAGATCGAACAGTTCCGTCTCAAGATCCGTCGGAGCACCCTGAGGACAGCTCGTATCCGTTCGAATCTTGCGTAGACACTCTTCCATCAACCGAATCCCCTGGGTAACTTTGGGCCAGATGGGAGGTTTGCAAGCAATCCCGTTACTGATTGCATAGACAAGTGGGGCTTGAGGGTCAGACGAGGCCTGCTGATGATGATTGCTCGTGAAGTCGCCGAAGTGATGGTGGATTCGGTCTGGGTTTCGATTGCAAAAGAAGCCGATCCGATCTTGCTCATCCTCGTTCCTGGCGAGCTGTCCGATCACCAGATTATAGCCATTCATCTTCGTGGACAACCGGCTGGATTTCAAGTGATCGAGATAACTGTGGACGGCGAGGTTCCCGGCGAGGAATTCCTGGATGATGAGGCCTCTGCTGATGAGCGGGACGGACGGCTCGACTTCCTGATCCTGCCCATCATCATCATCAAGAGTGGGGATGTGGTTGAGTGGGGGAGTGAGGTTGGTCAGGAAGCCGAATCTCCCGGTCTCTTTGTGGATCCCAAGCCAGGTCCCTCCGGCGATCGCATCTCGTCCCGACAGAATCTCATCCGAGAGGCTGCTGGGATCTTCGCTTCCTTCCTTAATAATCTGTCTGCAATCTTGCGTGGTCGGGTCTTCGGGAGCGGGCGACGAGGGAGGAGCTTGGACGTCCGGATGGATCGGACCGAACGAATGCAGATGGGCCGGGAGACTGGGTCGGCTAAGAAACTCGTCCCGATTAGAGGCCAAGATCCTATTCCGTCGTGTTATTTTGATTTTTTTTTCAGAAGGAGAAACTCCGTCAGCCGCAACACCTGATCAATGAATGAAAACCCCGAGAATCTCAAGAAATAATGATGGGTGAAGAAAAAGTCTTGGAACTGACAGTCTGTATCCGAGCTGGGTTTTGGCCGACCAAATGGCGATACACATTCCGAACGAAGTGAGTTTTAGTACATGTACGGTCGGTCCTGTTTTTTTTTTTTTTGTAGCCGTTGAAGATTGTACAACACTTTTATATGAGGTCCCGGGGTCGCCAGACAGGACATCCATCCCCCCTGCTAATATTGATAAACTGAGCTTCTCACAATGCAACCCAAGACACTCAACACTCAGCAGTGACCGGTCGGCGGGATGCAGGCCTACATATTAGCTCTGGGCCGTGTTCTTCCTCAGAAATTGCGCTCGACATTCATAAAAAAGAAACAAGCGAACTCTGGATTGTATACAATTTCTTTTTTTTTCCGACTGGCTGCTGTGCGGGGTTGACCCGGGTGATCCCAGCAGGATCCGATTGGGGAGGTGGATTCGGCTGGACTAAATAAAGAAATAAATAAATACATAACCCAGGGATTTGAATGAACCCTTGTGTGATCCTCAGTGTGGTGGTGGGCTTTTGATGGTCCTCAGTTTCGAAGTGGAGCAAAGAGTGCCGGAGTTTGATGTGGGATGAGGTGTTGATGTGCTCGAGAAGTGATTGTTGCACTCTTGCTCTGGTGGCGAATGCTGAATCTGGGATGATTGAAGAATGGAGCAGGTTGTCTTTGGGAGTGTGGATTGGAGATCGAGAGGATGGGGCCGGTCTGGATTGTCGTCCAATGCGGGTCCTTCTGATCCGATCAATCCAAGGATTCCTGCCCAGACCGAAGGTAGAGTCACTGGGATGACAGCTTTTTTACAGCTTTAATGGCGCCTCTTCTTGATTCCTGCAATCAGTATAGCTGTGGGTCGAGTCAGCTGACTGGTCTTGAGGGGTGTAGAGAGGGTCCGATGATGCTGGGATGTATGTGGCTCATCCACCTCGAGGCTCGGAGGCTCGGTTGGCGAGTCCCGCCTTGATGAGATCACAAGGCAATCTTCCAGAACACTTGATCTCTTCCAGTCTGCTGATTCTGATCAGTACGTAAAATCCCTAAAATAGTGTGGGGTCAGTCTGGTTTAAAGCCAAAAAAACCAAAAAAAAAAAAAAACAAGACCAGTTGAAAGACTCTCCTCTGCCCATCGAACAGTCTCATCATCCAATCATTCATTCATTCTCCTCTTAACCTCACCCCTTCCCCTCTCTCTTTCTTCCTCTTCACAGCAAACAAACAAACAAACAAGAGACCATGCTAAACTATCTCACCAACCTAGCATCCTACTACCTACTACCACAACAACAACAACAACAACAACACCAGCAACAGCAACAGCAACTACTCAGTCCACATCCAACCTACAACTCAAACGCACTCTCACTCGCCTCAATCGCATCAAAAACTGACCAACTCACTCAGTCAAACCAATCATTCCTACCCAGCTCAACCTCATTCCCATTCTCATCAGCATCATCATCATCACCACTACCACTAACAGAACAACAACAACAACAACTCATACCAAACTCAACTAATACAACCATCCTACAACTCAACCTCAACACCAAACTACTACTACCCACCAAACCATCACCTCACAAGGCACTATCCCCAAGAGCAACCCACGATCTCATCTCCAGGCTCGATGCCACCTCCCCACTCCTCCCTCAGAACCTCGCCAACTTCATCACTGCTGCCTCACTCGCCGCAAGGGTCTCACTCAGATCTTCAGCCTTCTTCATCGAACTCATCCTAGAATCTCTCAGATACTCAACTACAACCTCACTAGGCATCACCCGTCGAGCACTCATCTCTGCCGTCGGCAGCGCAAGGGCCATACACTACAATCATCACTCAAACAACAACCAACCACTTCCAAATTCATCCTACCTCAACGTCCTCGATCATTATACCAACGTAGGCATCTACCTCGTCCACCATGTCTTCACCATGGCCGAACTGCTCTCCATTGCCGGCCTCGACCTCACTCATTCAGTCATCTCAACTGGCTTCGAGGTCAGTTTGTAAAAATTCAACTATACCTAGTCATCATCATTCTCACATCCCTCCCTCTCTCCCTTCCTTCATCTCAGACCGCCGAGGTTTCAGTCATGATGCTCGACAGCATCTTTGGCTCAAACGAATCATCTCGCGCACTCTCGGCTATTATCATGCTAGTCCGACGCGAACTGCTTCACGACCCTCGTTTCACTCCCTCCCATTCGAGTACCCTGACTGGTCTCGTCGCTCTCACAAAGGCGATCACTGCCTTTGCATGTCTACAGCTCGCCACCACTCGTCGTACCACCGCTTCGATGAAGATGCGGGTCGTGTGGGACGCAACGATGATTGCTGAATCAGTCACCGAATCAAAGAGCTTGGCCGACGGAATCGATTACCAACTAGGCATCAAGCAAGGTCGAGCTCACGGCTGCAACTCTTCACACCCTCCACCATCATCCCCGGAGACACACACTCACTCACCCCCCTCCACTCGTTCATCCCCTCGACAGAGCATACACAAGTTATCCGAATCTGACAAGTCTTCCCTCCTCACCGATCTCAGAACATCAATGGAAGCAAGAGCAACTCACTTCAACTCTCATCGCAGTATCAACTCTGAAATCCTCTCTACTGCCCCCACCCCTCCTCAATCTCCAGAACATCGTTTGGAAGAACGCCAAGAAATTGAATATAAACTCACCCAGATCCTTACCGACGGTGAAAACAATCCAGATCCCTACAACGATAATCATTCCAACTCGGCTACCATCGGCTTACCAGCTTCATCCAACACTGCAAGATTGGTGCCCGATGACGTCAGAAAAGCACTTTACCAGGTCAAGCGCACCTCCTACTCACGAACTCAGTCTTACTCCTCCGAATTAACCAGTCTAGGAACTACCACCTTACCCGATTATCTATCAACCGCCACCTATCAGCTCACCACCTTGACCACTCAAACCACCAGAACAAGGACTACGACGACTAACAGTGCCCACTCCAGTACCCCAAACGACCACGACCATCATTTTTCTTCTAATACCACCAAGAGGAATAATGATAAGAAGGCTTCCACTCTACCCTCCTCACCACAACCCTCTTACGACGCATATCAGGTCCATTGGTCTGCCAACGTTCACCTGGATCCTCATCCCTCTACTTCCACACCACCACCCTCTCGGCCCAAGATGCGAATCATGACAAGAATACTTGATTCACAACCCAAGCAGAACGCATGTGATCAGACCGAGTATGAGCCTGCGGAACAGTCACTATCAGATCACTTGAGTTCCAAGCCAAAGGTATCCAGGACGAAATCCATGCCATCTTCCCCCCGGCGCTCGTTTTGCTTTACCCAATCGAAAGTCGTCAGACGCTCCTTGACACGATCCAAGACGCATTCCAATATGAACGACCTGACACTCCTTGATGATCCGTACTCATTCGTTTATCCGCTCCCAACCATGGTCTCCACCTCTCAAACCCCTCCTTCGTCCCCCTCCGTCGTCAGTGAGGAGTCCAGTCTCGAATCCGACGAGCTTGTCATCCAACCTGATCAGCGCCCATTCACCAGTACAATCTCAGAGATCCCTCAGGAGGATGAGGATGAGAATCAGCGAGGGTATTTTGGTGTGAGGGACGGGCCGATGAGGCCTGTAGTACCACCACCCCCTTCATTTAATACTAATCGTCAAAAATCATCTACCTCCATTCAAACCGTTCGCACCCATCAAGTCTCTCAAACCCTCTCTCCAAGCGCCCAGCCCCCATCCTCAGACTTCCCGCCTCAACCACTCGTCAAGAACCTCGGCCGATTCATGCGCTACAGCTCAGCCGCCTATGGCCAACAGTTCCTCAGGATCATGGGCATCGGTGTCGACTCGTTCAACTACCCCAACACCAGGAAGCACTCTGCCAATGATCATGCCTTCGCCAGTCACGTCGGTCTCCCCGTCGACCAGATCCTCCTCAGCTCATTCACCGAGCCCAATCCGGTCCTGGGTAATGAAGTTTTGAGTCCGCTGGTCCATTACGTCTCGATCGATCACGACTCGAAGGCGGTGGTCTTGACCTGTCGAGGTACCCTAGGCCTCTCCGATATTCTCGTCGATCTGACGTGTGAATACGAGCCGATTGCGGTTGATGGTGGGGACCCGAGTGCGTCGTATCTAGCGCATTCAGGCATGCTGCACTCCGCACTTCGGCTACGGAGGGAGTCCTCGACGGTGCACGAGGTGATCAAACAAGCGTTGATCGATTACCCGACTTACGGGCTGATCATCACTGGCCATTCGCTCGGTGGGGGGGTCGCGGCTCTGTTGGCGGTGCTCTGTAGCACCCGGACGGAAAGCTTCCTGGGCCAGATCTCGGGCCAGTCGACGCCGATCGCCCATCCTCCCATCAGCACCCGCTTCGTCACCTCCTTCCGCTCCGGCTTCCCGCCCGGCAGACCGATCCATTCTTACACCTATGGCACCCCCGCCGTCGCCTCGCTCGACCTCAGCGAATACACCAAGGGCTTAGTCACCACGGTCTGTAATGGGATCGATATCGTCCCCACACTCTCGCTCGGCGTCCTTCATGACCTCAAAAGTATCGCCGTCTCCTTACATGAAGAGGAAAGTGTGGCGATCGAGATCGTGAAGAAAGTAGTAGGTCTCTATCGACCGAAATCTACTAGCAGTACAACCGGTCCGACCCAACAACAACAACAACAACAGGCTCAAGAACTCTTCACCTCTTCTCAACAAGATAATGATGATGATGATGATGGAACTGGTAAAAATAAGGAGAAAGTGTCGATGAAGGAGCATGAGATCAGGAACGGCGTGGGCGACAATCGGGCGAATGGTGCGGATTATCGCGACCCTGCTCTGGAGGGCTCGCTGTTTGGGAAGGCCGAATTGACGCCCGAGTTGGGCGATTGGCTCTGGTCTCTTCGACGGACCATGCGTGCCGTCTCGGATGCTGAGAAACTCTAGTATGTCTTCTCCCTTTCCTTTCCTTTCTCTCTCTTTCTTTGTTGATGTTTTTTTTTTTCCTTGGTAGTCCGCCGGGTGAGGTGTGGCATGTCGAATCCTACGAGGTCTTTGTCGTTAGAGAAGTCAATGATCAAGAGAACAAGAGGAAGAAGAAGAACAATCCAGGGGCACCATCGCCCGGAGCGAGATCTACTTCCTCACCTCATCCTTCGTCTTCTTCTTCTAATAGTACCGGTTTCTCGTACCCGAACCATCATGATCCGGCGCCGCCTTCTACACCAACGACTGCTACCCCGACGCCGTCCTCGGCCACTTCTTCCAGACGTCAAGGTCGCAGAATCATCCTCAGGGCTTGCGATGACGTGCAGGCTCGGTTCTCGGAACCTATCTTTGGAAAAACCGTTCGTCTACATTTCTTTTTTTTTTCAGAGAGAGTGAAAGGGGGGGGGGGGTGGGTTTATGTAACTGGAATTGATCTTTTTGGCTTTGGCTTTGGCTTTGGGGATCGTGTTTGTAGATGTTTCATGATCATATTCCTTCGCAATATGAATTGGTTCTGGAACTCTTGGAGACCGCGATCGGCAATTCTTCGGACGATTAACACACACAGTTCTCCTTCATCATCATTCATCATCATTCATCATTCACCTAATTTATAATTAATCATCATCTCTTTTTTTTTTTTTTTTTTTCAGCACAAAAATTGCATTGTTATTTTCCTTCTTTTTTGGTTTGAGGCTGGTTTACTTTTTATTTTTCAGATCCAACTGATGTGCATTCTCTCTTCTTTCTTTCTTTCTTCCTTGCTCTCCTCGTACATCCTCAAATCTCCACAATTGCCGGCTCATCAACCAACCAAACCACCCCTTTCTTTTTTGTTATATTTCCTTTGTATGTAATAATAAATCATCCGATCCAATCCAATCCATCCTGTATTCTACATTCTCTCACCTTGTCTTTTTCGTATGGATGTATCATATATATATATATACATATATATGTTGTATTTTTCTTATATCTTACTTTTTTTTGCAACACTTGTACATACATAAAAAACCTCAAACTCTCCATTGTTTTTTTATTGGTTGTTGTAACTTTTATAATCCATGTTGTATCAATTATAATGTCCATTCACTTTTCTATTTTTTTTTGTTGATCACAGCTTGTCAATCCATCAATGTATGTATACATACATACACACATACATGACCTTCTCATTCATGAATGTTCCCTTTTTTTTGCATATCAGTACTAATCCATGGGTTCATGGAAGCTGAATAACCCAAGGGTGTTTGATGGGATAAGTGGCCAAGAGGCCCCATGTTCAGTTAATACTTTGGCCATTGATGCTGGGAAAGGAAAGGGATGGGGGTGGTTGTGGAAAGCCTTGGATCTTGATCCTCAAGAGAGCTGGATCTGATCAGGTTCTGGGTGACGGGTGATTCGCAAAATTCGTGCCGTTCATGCTGGGGAAATTTTCTGTCGGGCTTCTGTGGACAATTATCATAGCTAAGCCCACAGCTGGGATTCATGAGATCGCCCCATTTTTCTAATCATTCTAAAGCTGGATGTCCACGGGGTCTGTTTTACTCAAATGTGAATCTCGTGATGCGCAAGATCAAGCCCACCTGTTATCTCTACCCCCCCCCCCCCCCCCAAAAAAAAAAAAAACCGCCGATGGGGTGCCGACGTGTCTGATCTCGAGTACAAAATCTTCAAAAATTGATTGCAGCTTTTTCGTGTTTGCAGAGCCACACACATCCGAAAATCGGGCGAGGCATTGTCGAGAAAAACTGGGCTGCGCGGCCTGCAGTTGTCTCCTGCCAGCCCAGACAGACTCTCTGACCACTGCGGAGGGCGATGTTAACTTCTAAGTTGTAACAAGCTGGACTTGCATCTTGAATGTTTTTCTCCGCTCCACGTATTTATGTATACTCCTTATAAATATCTCTAATCACTTCTCCAATCTGTGGAGCCCTGATAGAGCTTTGAATTGATCTTTTGGCTTCATATGTAGCTCTGGGCCGTTTGATCGAGTCTCTGCTCTCCAATATATTCAAGTTCATCGATCGTCGACGTTATATTTTAGAAGGTCTAGTAGTAGTCTTTCAGAAGTTAGACCATCCATCTGCGCAGCTGTTTGCAGGGAAAAGAGGAAATTGTAGCGGCACACATCAATGGGCAGGCCACCCGCCCTAGTGAAATGGAGCACCTCATCTTGGCTCCTCGGAGCTTGGGCCATCATCACTGCCAGCACCAACGATCAGTTCGTCCCAGGCCTCCATTCCACCGCCCATCTCCTGGATCCGCGGGCCAAGTGCTCCGACATCCATAATGACGACATCAACTTCGTCGAACTTGACGAGTATCTTTCGAGCCGGGAAATTGGCGGATCGTCTACAAGTGTACAATCTGGCCAAGCTGCAAGAAGCTCACCAGTTCAGCAGAAGCATGCAGATATCCTCTCTCAACCCCTCAAACTCTCATCACATTCTGCAAGGAAATCTCCCACTGATTGCTCCTTAGCACTCCAAGCAAACACTAGTTCAAAAAATCACCATTTCATCTCCAAGCAATCACTATCAGCCATTCTTGCCCCTGGCACAACTTCAAGTGAGCAATTCAACTCAGGTGTTACTGATCACTTTTGGAGTCCCCACAACATAATAGATGATTTGGATGAGTCTTATGACCTTGATGAGTTCTTTGATCTCCTAGAAAAAAGTATGCTAGTGATTGCTTCTACTGATTGATTGACCGAGGGCCACACTAATTTTGATCTACTTAATCTGTTCTAGCCGGGTCCAAAGGAGCATCTAGCATAGAATCATCTGAGGTGCCTGATCAAGTCTCCACAAGGGAAAGCTGTGAAAAGATCAATTGTGCTGCCCACATGCCACAAAAAGAGTGCTCCATACCCACAAACAAACCTCTCATTTCCGACAATTCTTTGCAAGACATTACGATTCCTGAGTGGATTGGGTCCACAAAATACATTAATTGCAGGGAATTTCTTGGGCAAAAAAAGAGCAGTGATGTGGCAGACCATTTGATGTTTCATTGGCCGACACCCTTTCATCTTGGAATAGGAAGGGAAGAGGAAATCCAAACAATCAGTCCTGGAAATCATCATAAACCCATTCCAGACTTTGAAAGCCACGGACTTGGGAGGGAAGAAAACCTCTGTTCATTTGATTCAATCCCTGTGATGTCTCAAGTTCAATATCCAAAAGTGTCTGAAAGATGTTCCAGATCAATGGTTCTTGTTCCTGGTAGATCACAGGGGGGATCACGTTCCTATGAATACACAAAAGAATTTGCAGGACTTGATCTGTCAATACCCATGATTTCCAAATCTGGTTGTCCTACAGTTTCTGCAAGATGCATCAGATCAATGATCAGTGTTCCTGATATTCCAGACAGGGAAGCACCTCTCTATCCAAACAGAAAGAAACTCGCAGATGGCAATAATCCAATCCCAATCAATACCAAGACTAACTATCCTCCAGTTTCTGCAAGATGTCATAGATTGATGATCCAAGCAGAGGATTCCACACCATCTCAACTTCCAAGAATGAGATTTGATATTTATACTTTGAGCTGTGAGAAGCTTGAGGAAGAACATCAAGAGAAGCTGGATGAAGTGCTCAAGCTTTTCGGCTCTGCTTGGGAGAATCCACTGACAATCAGACTGAGTCAGTTCAAGAAAACATTCACTCCAATCATCTTTTCAAGACTTGTATCTGCTGGTAGTACCACAAAATCTAAAAGGGATCAAAAAGCAAGCAAAGACAGACTCTTGAGTGTCAAAAGTAAATCATTCCAAGAGCATAAACACATTTGGTATCAATACTGGAACATCCAAACAGGCGTTGATTTCGAAACAGAATATCTCCCATCAATCACTAGGACTCAATTCAAAGAAGTGTTTCCACTTTATCTGTTTTATGTAGAGATGATCCTGACCGTCATACCTCGGCCTGCAGAAGGTCATGAAAGAGGGGACTATAGTTATACACAAGAGCTGAGAGAAGCCAGCCGTCTTTTCCTGGGACTGGAGAATCCATTCCAGGATCCGCTAAACGATCCAGATGAACTATGGACAGAAAAGAGGGCAAAATTATCCGTGCAGATAGAGCGTTCGAAAGCCCAAAGACCGCAAGTGTTGTGGATCTTTCTGGATCTCTGGGTGCGAGAGCGGTACCCAGAATTGTGGACAAGCCAGTTGAAAAAAACCCGCAGATCAATCTCCAGTCATGCCAAAGGATTCTTCAATTACATCTTCTGCTTCTCGATCGTCAGGTTGAGCCGGTATTATCAAGGCCTTCTTCCACAACCTAATTGATCCAATCATCTTTTCAAGGAAACTTTCAAACTTTCGGTTGGTCGTTTGAACATGATATCACTGATGAACCTTTGTAATCTTCAAGCCAATTTTTTTTTCTTTACGGTCAATGATCATGATCTGGTGTAAGAAAGGTTGAATATCTATCAGAAATATGAACTTGAGACTTCCCAACTCTCCTAATCAAACAGTCATTGACCACTCACGTGCGTTGATAATCGCACTCCCCTCCCCTCCCCGCCCGCCCACGCCCCTCCAAAAGGGGTGTGCAATCACACCCGCCCGTCTCTGAGGGGCGGGTTTGATTGCACGCCCCTCGGAATGCTGATTTCCCAAGGAAACAGGCTTATATCCTAGGATGTTTTGCTGACATAATCGCGGGAGGACTTGCCCACCAGTCAAGAACCGAGAATATCTC